GGGGATTCGGCCCCCACTGCATAGTGCCTTTAGGCAGGGATACCTGCCCACCCAGACTGCCAGGCCCGCAAGGGCCTGCATCTCAGCACCCGCAGGGATTGCCTGGCTCCTGACCCAGCTCTGCACCCGCAGAACTCAGAAGGCTGGAGACTTGGCCCCTCCCCTCAGGGAGCACTAATCTTGATGAGAAAGGTCAGAGGAGTAGGAGACCTGATATAAAGCACCTTATGTGGCGCACCTTTCAAGCCATGAAAACCGAAGCCGGGGGAAGGGTGGAGAGAAGAGACAGAGGGAGGGAAGGAAAATCAAACGCTTAAGTACCTTCTGTGCCTCCAGCACCAAGCATAGGCCCCTTCATTTTATGCTCAGGACAGTCATGTTACAACGGCATTCTTAATTCCAATTCTCACGCTGCACTTTTTTTTCTTGGTACTGGGGATTAAACTCAGGGTCTTCACACTGAGCTGTATGTCTAGCGCTCCATTATTTAAAATTTTGAGGCAAGGTCTCGCGTTAAGTTGCCCAGGCTGGGCTCAAACTTTTGATTCTTCTGCCATAGCCTCCCAAGAAGCTGAGATCATATGCTAGCATCATCTGAGATGCTTTACAGAAATACAGATTTTACGTACTCCCAGGGATTCTCATTACCAGTGTGCCTTACTATTTACAGAAGCATAAAAAGGAAGGGGGAGTGCTGAATCTGTCCTAAGGACCTATTTAGAGCTTGGGGCTAATTGACAAAGTTGCAAAGGAGAAATGCTGAACAGGTGACTATGTGCAAGAAATGTTCACAACAGTGACACCAGTCGGCCCGGACCAGGAGACACAGCGGACAGAGAACAAGGGAGTGGCTGAAGCACTACTACGGAAGAATGTATAACTCTGGTCAGAGCACATGGACTCCACAGCATGGTAATGAGGACTTGAAGAAGTTCCTAGACCATGGGCAACATGATCACAGTTACAGACGACAAATCAAAAAGTAGACAAGCATCTGGGCGAGGAATGGCAACTATACAGCTACTGACAGAGATAGATGAACAAGCTGGCAAGGGCCCAACAGAGGTAAGAACTGAAAGAAGAGATCTGCATCAGAGGGACGGAAGAAGGCAGGGTGGATGTGCGTGATTTGCTCATTGCTTTATCCCCACCCGCTAGCAGGGAGAGTCACCTGCTGATTACCTGGCTGTGGATGAATAAATACAGGTGGCTTTGGAGGCAGACAGACATGGCTGTGAACCAAGATGAATGAGTCAAGGATTTGATCTAGGATTCAAATACAAAGGATTAGACTCTTCAGGACAGCTTGGGCCCTGCTGACTACAAGAGCTGAAGACCTGCAGCTTGTTTTCAGCAAAGGCTCCTCCTCCTGACTTCTGACTTTTCTCTAACACTTTATTTTGGCTCCCAGTTCGTGAAAAAATTAAGTGACTCTGAGATACTGGAATGTGCTCTTCACAGTGGCATGCATGGTAGCTCTTCTTTCTCTCTTGGGAAGAAGAAAATGATGGGCGAGATCTTTTAGTTTGGCTTTTGGCAGTGGAGGAAGGACATCTAGTGAGAATCTAAACTCAAAGGCATTCCTCCCAGAACCTGCTCCTGGGTCACAGCTGGCAGCCACGCCAAGAGCACACTGGCTTAACTGGACTCCCTATAAACTTTAATGACAGAGCTCGCCAAGTTCTATGCAGCTGACAGACTTGACCACCCTGAGCAGACTCCAAGATATCTCTGATGGCCAGTCAGGTCTCTAGGGCTCCAGGCAAATTGAAATCTGGTTTTGCCCTGGGAAAACCTAGATGATCTTTTGAAATTCTTCCCAAACTAATCACTCTCCATGGTGCCATTTGAGTGATCATGTCACATAGTCTCTGGTAAGCTGCCCTTTGAACGGTGGGCACTATCCACACTAGATATGCTGCCCTGCTTGGAACTTCACACAATGTATGCATGTATCAAAACATCACAGGGTACCCTCACAATAGGTATAGCTATTGTTTATCAGTTCATATTAAAAAATAACAACTAGATATATGATATCTCAGAAGCAGGAGCTGAAAGGCAAATTCCTTGGACAAACATCATCTTGCAAGCCTCATCTTTTTTCATTAAGAGCTTTCCTTTTTAAATGGCATCTATCTGCTGCTAATATCTAACTAAGCGATGAAAAGCCCTGTTTCGATCAAGCTCTCTCGCAGAAGTAATTTGTCTCATCACCCAAACACCCAACATACATCTTTAAGGGAGCTGCAAAAGTTCTGTAATTTCCGTTTTATTTTCCCTTCTAATGCAAAGTTTCCAGAGCCTGCCTTGCACAATGCACAGCTCCGAAAGACTTGAGAGTTTCTTTTAATTTACAGACATCTAAGCATGTTTATAAAATCCCACTGGCTCAAAATGACTCCTTTCCTTATACATCTTCCCACTTCAAATTACGTGTTTACAGCAGCCTGCAATGTATTATTTCTAAAAATAAACAGTCACGAGAAAAAAAGGACAGAAAAGCAGCAGCGTATCACCCCTGCCACACTGTCTTTCCCTTTGCCAGGTGTCCCCGCAGTGAAAGTCCTAACCTGCCAGTGGAAGGCATGAATGGCTTTCTCTGCATCCACCCAGGACTGGCTGCTGGGTCCTTTTCAGAGATCGCTTTAAGGCTTAGCGCCTGGGAATCTCCCCACCCCCAGCTAGGTCTAAAACTCAAGAGCTCATAACTACAGACATTTCTCCTTGCTTCCTTTTAAAGACAGCCTCTCAGCTCAAAGGATCACTTCTAAATCCCAGGACACAGCGGCAGTTTTCAAATTAAAATGCAAAGCACAGGAAATAATGTTCTCTTAAAGGCTAAACTTCTAAAAATTAAGCCTTTGGCGTCCGTGTATATTTATGCTGCTCTACGTGAAACAAATCGAGACTGGAAAGTGATTTAAACAAACTATTAGCCATTCCCGGCCTTGAAACATCTTCCACTGAGAAAGACTGACTCACTGCCTAACAAAGACTCCAGCGAATCTCCGAGTTGACATTTTAAAAATATCTAATCACCCTTCTGGAGGATATTCCAATGGCTGAAACCAGTGTCTACTGCAATAAAGCCGTTCACTCAGAAAACATCCAACTCTGGTTCGAATTGAGAAATATTAGCTCCTTAAGATGCAGACTTCAGGGCAAAGTTATCAGTGGGGAGGACTGGTATCGTTCAGCCAGAAACAACTCCTTAAGGAGCACTGTCAGATGTTTGCAAAAAACAAACCAGGGGATTTTTCTTTCTCTGGAATCCCAAAACAAGAACATTTCTTAGCAAACCCCTGGGCAGCATTTAGTCCTTAGCAAAGAAAAACTCCTAAAACTAGACAGAATTTTAGGCACAGCTTCTCTTAAAAAAATCATTAGATGAAATTGTCCCTTTGCCCTGTTTTGCAATAAGATGAGCAACAATGTTTTTCCGAAATAAACACACAATCTCTCTCTTTCTGTGTCCACGAGCCAAAGTTCATCCCTGGCTGGGAGGCTGCTAATCCCCACGGATTAAACCATCATTTGCCAGTGAGAAATACTGATAAGGCTCCGAGTTGTATTTTACAACCTGAGAACTCAAAAATACTCATTTACTCTGCATAGTTTTCCAGTTCTACGTGCTCCAACCCAGGGAAACATTTGGGGCTCTGTTACCACCCTGATAGCAAATACCCACGACAATGCCGAGAGCCAAACAAGTTTCCCAATCCGAACTTGCCTCAGCTCATTGGGGTGGGGTCGGAGGGGTTGTCCACAAAACCTACTGCAGACGGTACACGTAATCTGCCCAGGAAAAACAGTCCATTTAGTTAAAAATGGACACGTTATTAGGGGGCAAAAAGAGCAGCCGCGAGGAATCAGAAAGGACAGAAACCACCGCCGCGGGCGGCGCGGGTACAGCAAGCAGACCGAACCGAACCCGAGGTGCTCCGGCTTGCACCTGGCCGGACGGAGCTCCCAGGCCCGGACGCCTGCGGACTCCGGGAGCCGAGGAGGCAGTTCCCATTAGAGGGCGCTCATTGGGCGACGTAGGGAAACGAGCTCCAACCCTTGAAACGCGACCCACAGGAGCAATCAGTTCGCACCGCGAGGGCGGGGGAGGGATGCCGGGTGCCAGCAGCCAGCCGCGCCCGCCGAGACTCCTCCAGCCGAGCCCGAGCGCGCGCGCGCGGCAGAGCAAAGCCCCGGTCCCCGAGCATCGGGCGACCCGAGGCCGCGCGCGACGGTCCCCGCTCCCAGCCTGCCGTGCTCGCCGCACTCCAGAGCAACCCGGATTAAAATGTCCTCCTGCCCCCAGGCTCCGACCGCTCCGCAGCCCTCTAGGAGAGGTCCCCGAGGACCGGGCTCCTGCGGCCGGCGCCCCCGCACTCGCCGACGCGACCTGCGGATCTCTGAGTCCCCTGCGGGACCGCGGGCCGCTTTTCCACGAAGGGTCGGGACCTAGCCCCAGCCACAGGGCGCATCAAACAAAAGAACTTTTCCAAACTTTCCTCTGCAATCACTCTTGGGTTTCTTAAATCTTCCCCCGTCTCCCCAGAACTTGCATTCAGTCCAGTTGCAAACCTGGAGTGGGGGGACGTCCCCAAAGTTTCCAGGTCACCCCGGGAGCTCCCGGGGTGCGCTCGATCCCTCGCAGCTCGCAGCCGGGCTCCCGCCACCAGGCACCCTTTCCCCTCCGTCCTTCCCGCACCTCGAAGCAAGATCCCCGAGGGCGACGAAGTTGGGAGTGACTTCGGGGCCTCTGAAAGCAGGTAAAACTGCCATGCTGTACTCCAACCCCGGTGTCCGTGGGGAGACGCCTGAAACTAGGGCTTTTCTAGGGGGAAGGGGTGGAGAAGCCAGCGCATTTTTCCCAGCAGATTCCCGGGGCCGAGGACTGCGTCCGGCAGGGGGATCCCCCGCGTGGCGCTCCCCGGCACCCCGCGAGCTGCTCTGGTGGACTGGGGTACCCTAACCATCGCGCGTCCTGGGCCTGGCCCACTCACCGACTCCGCCGACACGCAGGCTACGAAGCCCAAGGTGAGCAAGATCCACGCGCGCCGCATATTCCTCAGGAACCGGCTTCTCTCACAGCCGCTCGCAAAGAGAGTGAAACGAAGCCTCCTGCCCAGCGCTCAGCCCGCGCAGAGGAATCCGGAGCCGAGCAGCCGCCGCGATCCGCTCGGGCTCGGGCTCGGGCTCGGGCTCGGGGGCGCCCGCTCTCTCCTGCGCCTGCTCCTGCCGCCCGCGCTGCGCCCCGGGAACGCGGCGCCTTCTCACTTGTTGGTTTCTGCGCTCCGGGCACAGAGTTGGCGCTCCAGGGAGGCTGCTCTCTGGAGCTTCTCCGGGTCCGCTGTGGTTTTACTCCTTCCCCCGCGGACTCTTTCCCCGCGTCGCGGCTTGGTTTCTGGTTTTAAGGAATAAACTCGACGGCTCGAAATGGAGCTGAAGTTTGGGGGCCGAGCGGCGGGGGCGCGCGATCCGCGCGGCCGGAGCTCCCGGGGCGTCTGGACAGCCGCGCGCCGGGGCGGGCTGGTGGCTCGGCGGCTGCGGCCCTGCTCCTCCCCCTCCTCCTCCTCCTCCCCCCCCCCGCTCCTCCCGGGCCTCCGCCTCCGCCTCTTTTCCTCCCGCTCCTTCCCTCCCTCCCTCTCTCCCTCCTGAGCCTGCTTCTCTGAGCTCCTCGGGCGACTAGGGGAGAAGAGGCGGCAGTGCGGCTCCAGATAAACCCGGGAGAAATTCCTACAGGATTACACCCCGACTGGCAGCTCCGAGGACCAGTGGGCGTCAGCGGCTCCGCGCTGCGGCTGCTCCCGGAATGCTGGTCCGCAAGCCAGGGCTCCCTCTTTCCCTGCTCTGTCCCCTTCCCCTCTCTTTATACTTTTCCCCGCTTCCCACTTTTCTCTTCTTCTCCCATGCACTTTTCCGAAGAAGTATCTGTGCAGACACGACAGACGTTTAGCTTTCTGCTTGCAAGAGTTAGACCAGTAGGGAGACGCTGCTTTGAGAGTTGAACAAAAGAAAGTTTATAGATCCCTTCAAGCAATGTGAAATACTCATAAATCTTTGGTTCGTGAAAATTGCATTTTAAAAGAGAAGACAATAAACGTGACAAATGTGTATTAAAACTGTTTCCCACCTTCCATCTCCACCCAAAACGGGAAGTGGAGGAAAAATCCTATAAATTCCGTAGGCAACAGTTCCAAAGCTCATAATTTCATTAAGGGCTTAAATACCATCTTTGCCTCACACATAGTTTATGCCCCTAAGGCATTTTTATAGGCTTCATTTCCGATAGTGGTGTTAACGTTTGGAAGCTACAAATAGGCCAGTTTGATGAGAAATTGGACAGAGATCCTGAATAATAACAGATTTAAGGGAATTTCAAAGAAAAGGATAAAGTAATTTCTATACTTGAAGACAATGATGAGAATTATTTCCTGAGTGGAGGTAACTGATCTGGAATATTCTGTTACGAAGTTATGTTTCCTTTCAATTCAATGCCTATGGTATGCTATAGAACATAGCAAATGCATATTCCTTTCCAGTTTTTACTACCATTTTTTCTCAGTGATTTAGGGAGTCAATGAATTATGAAGCCATTCTGCTCCTACAACGGCCACTGCAAGGAACCAGGGCCCTCTTGGTCTTGTTCACCTCTGTTTCCTCATTTCTGATAGATAAAAACAATAAATGTACCCTGAATAATTTTTGTTCTGAAGCATAGTCCATACGGTGTAAAGAGCTGTGAGCTCTTACGATAAACAGATGTAGGCTGGACTATCTGTAAAATGGATTCTTTGTGGGTTGAGAAATTGGACGAGATGGGAAAACTTCTGAAATGAGGTTCCAAAGGAAAATGGCCAGTGTGGAAGAAATGCAAAATGCCATAATTTTTCACCTTTATCTCCAAAAAAGGGGCCCAGTCCACTTTCCAGCCTTCAAGCAAGGTCACACCTCTGTCATCCCCAACAGTTAAAGAGTCCATGAAATAAATTAGAATTGCAAGAAAATGAGATGATGCATTCACTCACTGGTTCTCAGCGAATGCTGTTTATCAGGACACGCACCTCTCAGGGCCCACAGTGACTGATTCAGCTTGGGCAGGCAGTGGTAAAAATGAATGAAAAGGCTGATGACAAACTCACAGTCCTAGCACTCTCCGCTGCTGAGGAAGGAGGATCCTAAATTCAAGTTCATCCTGGGTAACTGGGCAATTTAGAGAAATCTTGTCTCAAGATAAAAAGCCTGAGGGAATGTAGCTCAGTGTGGAAAGTCTTGGGTTCAATCCCCTGGATAGGGGAAAGCAGAAGAATGAGCAAAAAGAATGTATCTTCCAGCTTCTCTGAAAACATGCTCCAAAACTCTTGGTGTTCAGGAGACTTTCAGTGACTTACTCTTTAAAAATGAAGGAGCAGCTCTGAAACTGTGCTCAGGGAATTGGCACCATTTTGAGTGCCATATGCTGTAAAGTACAAGAAATCAAATATTCAAGATCTTGGGTTCAGGAGGGTAATGTGACAGTATGAAAAACACAAGTTGGCCACAAATACGTCACCTGTGCTGAGTGAGGACGGGGTTGGGGACAGAGGATGTCCTCGTGTCTAAATTTGAAAATAATGAAGACATGTTTATAGGTTTTGTTAATTGGGTTAAAAAGCTGGTGGTAACTGAATTTTGATAAAATTGTTTGTATTATATGGAGTACACTAAGTGAAGCTTCTGGCCAACCAAAATTTATTTGCTGATCTGCTTTCCCGTCCTCCAGGGTAAGGACTGTGTTTTAAGGAGTATGGCCAGTCGGATAGCTTATTCAGTCACTGCCCAAGAAAGTCACTGAGTGCTGATAAAATGAACATCTGCTTTAAAAGTCTCAGAAGAAAATATATAAAATGAGCGCAATACAGAGACTAAGACACAGACATTTGAAAACTAGGAATTATAGAGAACCACATAAATAGAAAAACAGAAATGAAAGCTATTAAAGACAGTTTTTAACCTAAGCAGACGCAATAGCCTCTGATATCTAACAATATCACATTATAACCATGAACAAGCAGGTGCTTTGGCCCAAACTGAGCTGTCAGCGTAGGAAAAGCTACCAAAGGGAAAAGATGTCACCCCATTGTTCTCGGTTGCTATTCCACTTGCCTCTACCTGGAACGATATCAGGAGTCTAGGCTGACAATCCATGGGGTAGGATTGGCCCTGACAAAATTCACTTGAAAGATGGTAGAACCTGCCGCTAAAAGAAAGCCCATTCAAGCCAACTATTAATTACCCATTGCTAATAATGGCAAGCAAGCTGAGGCCATGATAAAAAAAACTACAGACAATCCAAGAAAAAGAATCTAGTTTTAGACTCAAAGTTTCCACTATTCTCCTTTAACCTCCATCAACCCTTTGCAAGGGAAGTTAGCTGATTTGAGTTTTATAAATTGATATGGTGGTAATATTGAAAAAAACTATCATATTTTAGACAGCAGGACCTACATCAGAAAGTCAAGGAACTGTATAGTACATAAATTATCTCCTGAGTAAGATAGGAGACATACCACACAGGTATGTGACTCATTCATCAGGGCCTCCTTGGTTAGACATGTGCAGTTTCTCAACCCATGTTAGAGTTAATGCCTTTTTATACCTTTAATGCCTTTTTAAGGTACAGGACAAATTTCATCCTAAAACCGAATGATATTTAAGAAAAACATATTTTATACAATACATAATTCCTAAGACCCATACATGGATAGATGAATTTAAGAAGGTACTGCAAAGTTGTCCTCAAGTTATTTAGGCTTCATTTGTATGTATTCAGTTGTACAGGAAAATCTCTCATCATGGATGAGTTTATGTAAAGTGGTACTTTCAAAAAACAAACAAAAGCAAAATTTATATGTATGTATAAGGATAGCTGGAATAGGTGTATTGCTGACGTCTGTGATTTATTGAAAGGAACAGTCAATGCTTGAAATTTTCTTTATTCTTGACCAATTTTGCCCTCTTCAATCTGGTAATCAGAATGACTGATCTGAAAACAACAATATGCAGTATAAGAACCATTGCTGAACTAGTACTACCTTGTATGGAGAAGTTCTGCATCACTTCCAATTACTTTTTTTTTTACTTGTTACTATCTTTGATTGTTTGATCAGTCTTACATTCCTACTTTCAGTTGAACTGAGCAACTTGGTTGAAGATAACAGTATGTAATGTAGCAACCATTGTTAATTCCTGTCATTTTGTTTTGAGGTCATGTATCGTTTTTGTTGTTTTCATGTTGTTTTGATTTTATCTTCATTGTTGTTTTGTTAGTTTTTTTAATTTTTAAAATAAAAAGAAATTTTAAAAACAGACAAAAATTGTTCATATTTATGTTGTAGACAATGCTGTTTTAAACAATATATACATACAGTAGAATGTCTAAATCAAGCTCACAGTGACTGTGCGAGTTTTGACAACATCTGTAGCTCAAATTCTCAAAGATACAATATATTGTTGTTAACTTTAGTCACCATGATGTGAACAGGTCTCTTGTACTCCTCTTATCTCAGTGAACACCCTGTCTCTTGGCAACATCTCCCCTTAACCCTTCTTCTCACCCCCAGCCTCTGGTTCCCACTATTCCGCTCTTTGCTTCTGTGAATTCAACATTTTTAGAATCCACGTATAAGTGAGATCATATGGTATTTATCTTTCTGGGCCTGGCTTATTTCGCTTAGCACAAGGTCCCCCAGATGTCATCATAGATAGTAGAATTTCCTTCTTTTTAAGGCTAAATAGTATTCCATCGTGTATACAGAACGTATTTTCTTCATCCATTCACCTTCTGTTGGATAGTACTAGTAGCTCTGTGGACCATTACACTAGTGGCAGTTAGCTCTAAACCCATTCAGTGTTCTTAAAGACAGTGACAGTTTCCCTCCGCCCTAGGGCAAGTCCTCTATACTACATAGTAAATGGTCCCAACCCTCCTTACTCACATCTGTAGACCGGGCCTGCGGGTAGCGGAAGGTAAATGATTAGTGGGCCGGCAGCTAAGCGGTCATTCTTCAGATTATTTGAACTCAGAATCTGACTTGATTGCTATCGACCTGGAAGTCATCCAAATCCCATAAGGAGTCCTGGTACACTAAATCAGAAAAGTGGATCTATAATGGAAGGAATAAAACAAGTGAACAGAAAAAACAGAAACAGAAGATGTGTGGCTCCAAAATAATGTAAGTTTCAGATTTTTTTTTTTTCAGTTGTTTTTCCAGCCTCTTGAGACCCACATCAACTGGGTTCCTTTAGGGTCTGCAGGATCCTCTGGTTTCCTTAGGGTAAATTCCTCCTTTTTGTTTAGCTAATTTAAGGGAGCTTCTGTTCTGAGTAAACAGACAATCTCAGACAGAGCCAAGCATGAAAATGAGGCAGAGTTGCAACTACCTTATCTCCACCCCAAACAGAGTGGAATTCTTGCCATGTAGTGCTTTATGAGGCGTATATAGGTAAAGAAAAATCTTCATGAATACAACCTATTAAAATATTTAGATTTTTTCA